TTTTCCTTCGATATGAGAGCCCGGAACTCAGTTTTGGCTTACTTTAACTAAAAAAAAGATGAAATGTTAGTTAACGTTCATCAATATAAATTAATTTTAAAAAATTGATTTTTTTTTTCGAAGGTTTGTTTTACCTTCAATATAGGAGCCCGGAACTCAGTTTCAGCTTCCTTCATCTAAAAAAATAAGATGAAATGTTAGTTAACGTTCATCAATAAAGTTAATAAAAAAAAAAATTTTTTTTTTTGAAGGTTTTACCTTCAAAGTAAAGTCCAAAGCTGTTTTTGGCGTCCAGGACCTATAAAATATAAAAATGAACATTAATTAACGTTGTTAAATAATAATATAAAAAAAATCAAAGGTATATATAGGTTTTACCTTCGACCTTTATCTTCAAAATTAACGTCCAGAGCTATTCTTTGGCGTCCAGAACCTATAAAATGTAAAAAAATGAACATAAGTTACGTTCGTTAAAATAAAATTAAAAAAACAATTTGAAGGTAAAGTTTACCTTCAAAATTAGAGTTCAGTGCCATTCTTTAGCGTTCAGGACTTATAAAATGTAAAAATGAACATAAATTAACGTTCGTAAGTATAAATAAAATAAAAAAAAAATTCAGAGGTAAATTTTACCTTTGAAATATATGTCCAGAACCGTTCTTCGATGTCTAGAATATATAATCGAACGTTAGCAATGTTCATTAGATAACTTAATTAAAAAAAGTTATTCAAAGGTCTTATACTTTCGAAATAAATGTTCAGAGCTGTACTTTGGCTTCCAGGACTTAAAAATATGAAAAACGAATATTAGTGGCGTTTGTTAAATAAAAAAATTATTTTTTTAAAATAAATTAAGTTTCGGAGGTAAGCATACCTCTGAATTCCAAAAATTATCAATAGGTTCCATCTGGAACTTATATAATAATAAAAAATTATTTTTTTTTTAAAAATAAATTAAGATTCAGAGGTAAGCATACCTCTGAATTCTAAAATCTTTGATAGGTTCCATCTGGAACCTATAAAATATAATAAAAAATTATTATTTTTTTTTAAAATAAATTAAAGATTTGGAAGTTAATATACCTTCGAATTTCAAAATCATCGATAGATTCCATCCGGAACCTATATAATATAAAAAAAAAATTATTTTTTTTTAAAAAAATAAATTAAATTTCAGAGGTAAGCATACCTCTGAATTCCAAACTAAATCATCGATAGGTTCTATCTGAAACCTATGTAATATAAAAAAATTTTTTTTCTCTAAAAACAATTAAAGTTTCAGAGGTGATATACCTTCAAATTAAAATTGACAATAGGCTCTATTATGTTTTTGATTTACAAACTGAATGTTAACTGATGTTCATTAAAAAAAATTTTTTTTTTTCAAAGAAGAAAAAAAAAGAATATGACTCTTTTTTTAGTTCTGATTTCCCTGCATGTACCGAATGTTGGACGAATTTGCCTTAAAGACTCCGAAACTTTGCAAATAAATTTTTTTTTTAAAAAAAAAATTTCTCTGATAAGCTTCGAAGCTTAAAAAATAATAGAAATATTTTTTCTTTGGAATCTTTAACAGGTTATTTCCTAAAAGGTGGTGTAGAAAAAATTATTTCACAAAGTTTTTTTCTTTAGTAATAAGTGCTGTAGTAGAAAAAATTATTTTTTAAAGTCTTGTAAAGTTTTTTTTTTTAAAGAGTATTGTAGAAAAAATCATTTAGGTATTAAATCAAGTTAGAGTTAATCAAAGTTTAAATATTAAATCAATAATGAAATTGCAGATTGAACTGATATTTTAATGAAAAAAAAGCAAAAATCTGCAAAATTGCAGACTTCCACATAAATTTCACATAAAAAAAAGCAGAAATCTGCAAAATTACAGATTACCACAGAAATGCATACATAAAAAATCGGAAACATGCAAAATCGCAGATTATTGCATAATTTTGTAAAAAATAAAAAGTAAAAATCTGCATAATTGCAGACTTCCACATAAATTCATATAAAAAATGCGGAGATCTACTAATTTTACAGATCTTCGCAATTCTGCATCTTAAAAAATTTTCCGATGAAAGTTATAAATATGTTTATGTAAAAAAAAATTACTATTTTTAATACAAAGAATAAGTTAATTGTATACATAATACAGGAACCATTTTTAGACGTGATTGTGTAATGTGTTTTTGATAAAACAAAAAACAAATACGCGTCTGCGTAACATTAAAATTATAAATCATATATGCATCTGTGTAACAGTAAAAAAATATATATTGAAAATGAGAGCAACAGGTGGATGGGAAGGGAAAAATAAGTGTTTTTCTGTTTTTTTATAATTTTACACTATAATTTTTGTAATAATCAATAAAAGTTATTTCATTTTTACTTAGAAAATTTTTTAAAAATATTTTTTTAAAAATAAAAATTCTGTGTATTGGTGGCGTTACAAAAAACATGAATAAATCTATAAATATCTATTCAATCATGATAAAAATTTATATGTAAGTAGATTCGAACCTGCTGAACAACTTTATTTAAGAAGGTTTTGGATATTTCCTTTGACTAAAGTGCCTAAATTACGCTCTGAAGTCACAGAACAGATATACGAAATATTAATAAGAAACATTTATAAGTTGTAATATTACAAAAAAATAATAATAGCTTTATCCATACATTATTTCAAAAATTTTTGGTTTAGTTTTTTTTATATACATATTTTATAAAAAAATTATATATACTTTACAGAAACTTTAAGTTTTCAAGTGATATCATTTTGATATTAAAATGATATTAAAATGATACCGTTAAGATAAACTTAACGATATCGATTCTATATTGATTAAAAATGATAAGTTTCTGTAAAGTAAATATATATATGTCATAAAATAAATTGCTTAGCAGTGTAAAAAATTTATGGGTTAGATAAAAGTTTACTTAGCAGACATGAAAAATATTTGCTTATTGACCTTAGTAAATTTTGAATTTTTTATCTGACCTATATATATATTGTTTGGGGTCCTATTTCATCTCTTTACGTTTTTTCATCATCATTTTTATTCTTCATCATCTATTTTGTTTCTTTACATTTTTTCATCATCATTTTCACTCCCTCATTATTTATTTTATTTGTTTATATTTTTTCATCATCATTTTCACTTCCTCATCATTTATTTTATTTGTTTACATTTTTCATCATCATTTTCACTTCTTTATCATCTATTTCGCCTCTTTATGTTTTTTCATCATCATTTTTACTCTCTCATCATCTATTTTGTTTCTTTATATGTTTCATCATCATTTTCACTTTCTCATCGTCTATTTTATTTTTTTTACATATTTTCATTATATTTTCGTTTCTTTATCATTACTTTTGCTCTTTATCATTATTTTCACTCTTTTTACATTTCATCATTATTTTCATTCTTTTATCACTACCTTCACTCTCTTATTATCTATTCAAGTTTATTAAATCATTTGATTATTTAACAATTAGTAACAATAATGTAATATACTATATATATGCATTGCATTATAATTAGAGATGTTAAAAATTAAAAATTGTACTTTGTTCAAAAACAAATTTTAATAAAAATAATTATAAATCACGTGATCTGGTAAAAATTACTTCTAGTGAATTTCACCTCCAGTGAGAGTTAAAATGATTCTTAAAATATACATTTATTACATTATCAGGAATTTTTTAATGTAACTTATATTTTTTTACAATATATAATGCTTCTATACCTGTTAATTCTTTTCTATATATATCTCTAAAATCATGTATAACTTCTAATTGTTTCTAAAGAAATTAAATTCAATATTTTAAAAACTATTTTTTCTAATTTCTTGAAAGAATAATCATAATTATTATGAAGATATAGTTTAGTAATATTCTAAAATATCTCAATAAAATTAAGCTTACAATAAAATTTAGAATAAAAGATAACTTTATATTTACAATCTTAATAATTTTTCTAATTAATGACCTTTGAGCTAAAAAATCTGGTTGAAATGAAAGTATTTGAACTGTACAACAATTATTTGCATATTTTTTACAGTTAGAACAAATATGGTTTATACTTCTTTCTAGTTATAATCCACATTCCTCTTAAACTAAATAAATTTCTTTAGGTCTTTTATTTAAAAAATGTATTAGCTATATTGAACCATCAGGGATCAGGTATTATTCCATTTTTAAATTTTTTTTTACCATTCAGATTAAGATTTATTTTTGTTGCATTATCAAATACAAATACATCAATATCATCAGAATACAATTTTCAAAATTGTAATAGCTTTTTAATAATCTAATTATAAGGTAATTTAAATTTAAATTATTATTTTTAAATATAAATAAAAAATATTTACCTATTTAATTAAATCTTCAGTTTTTCACTGATTAGCATCTGGTTTTATCATAAGTTAATGTATTAATAAAAAATTTTCTTGGCAAATTTCAGCTAAGGGCCCTGACTAAAAATACATATTTTTTTTATTTTGAATACTTTAATATATACAGTATATTAGTTATATATATAAATCATATTATCTAAACTTGAAGTATTGAAACAGCATATCATTGAACTTGAGGCTGAAAATGCTAAAATATCTGATCTTAGAAGAAAGCTCTTAGTTTCTGATGCTAAAATAGCTGGTTGAGTATACACTATAATTAATTTTAATAGTTACATGATGGAATGTCAATTTCAAAGTAATACAAAAAAAGTTTGGTCTAATAAAAAAATGGCAATTTGTACCAAACCTTTTTCATATTTTTTGTATAAGCTTTTTGGAACTAATAAAGAAAGAAAAAAAAGTTATTTATTATAATTTGGTTTATATATTATATTATAATTACTATTTCTAAATTAATAAAATATTTTTGTTTTTTTTAAACATATTAGGTTATAAAATACATGAAACAAAAAACTATTTTAATGTACTATAACTGATAGATTAGTTGATATATTTAATCTTTATATTAGTTTCAGTTCTTTATTTTTATTATGCCAAAATTATTGATTGTAAATATTAGTTTACTATAAGATAGGTTCTCAACGAAGTAGTTAGTTTTTTGTGGTATTTTTTTTAAGGAAAATTAGCAATTTTACTTTATTCTTTATTAAATTTTATGTTTCTTTAATTTAAATTAGTAAAATTTTTTATACATACCAATCATTTTACATGTGACATAATTAGCCATGGTAATTAATAAAAAATGATTATATAGATATATTCTACCCTTAAGCATAGAAATATTGAGTTTCTAAAAGCAAATAGAAAATATAATGAGAGGTGTGATGCTAATAAAAAGGAATTAAAGCAGAAAAATGCAGGGCTTAAGGTTAGACTTGCGGTAGTGGAAAAGAGTTCTGTGGTAGTGGATGGACAACTACAAAATGATAAGAAAGCGATACTAGAGATATTACCAGAGGTATCTGCTGATAATGATTCTATAGTAGACCAGTTTAAGCAATATGTGCCTATTTGTAAAGTAAATGATATGGTATCAGAAGTGTTACCAGAGGTCAACACCAAGTTATCGGCGAAGAGAAAGATGGATAAATCCTTAAATAAAGCATATAAGAAAAGTGTTAGTAATAAAATAAGATAATGCAATAAGAAAAAGAAGCTTCAATATTATGACTTATCATCTAATACAGAAATTATAGTAGATTTGAAACTATCACTCAGTACAGGCAATGATATCTCTGTTTCGTTATCTATTGAGAAGGTGGATACTAAAGCAACTTATTATGTAACATGAAAATAATCACTTGTGCCGATAGTGAGGATGTCTCATTTGATAAAATGTCTGGGCTGATTTCTACACAACCGCTTGATAGAAATTAAATCACTGAACAAATCTTGAAGATTGATTTTTCTAAACCTATTTCTTCAGTGGTATCGGTTGAAATACATGTAAGGTTGCTGGAGAAACTAGAGGGTTTTGGCAAGTTAACGAAATGCTGAAATGCTGAAACTTTGCCAAAACTATATGAAAGTCTTATTAAAAAGTTAGAGAAAAGCGAAACCTGATAAAACTTATTATAAATGCCAAAACTGCCAAAACCTTGCCAAAACTATAATAATAATATAGTAAAATCTTGGAGAAACTAATCGTAGAATTTTGGAGAGATTTAGGCAGGCAACTTTAACTACATGATGAGTCCATCTTAATCAACATAATTGAAAGCTTTACGCAGAGATTAACTTATTGGATTGATGAAGCTATAAAAATGGGTCTAAAAGAAATCTTATACTTGTATCATATTTCTTTAAGTTTGAAAAAAAAGTTAAAAAGATTACAACTGATGGCAAGACTAAAGATAAGACAGCAAGATTGATGGTATACAAAAATATGTTACAGTATTTACCTAATGTTATTCTGGATACTAATTTGCGAATCTAAACACATCAAGCTAAAAATATTTTTATACTATTTGGAAAAAAAGAGGTCAAGATCAATAGAATTAAGTTAGTTACTTGTAATGTAAGTGATATAAACAATACTCAAATTCAAATATTATAGATTATATAAATAATATATATAACTTTGAAAAGTGTTACCAATGGTAACAATCAGAGTCATGAGACTTTAAAAACTATTCCTTCAGGGAATAATCAGACTAATGTATCAGAGGTGCAAGCAAATACCTTGATTTAGCTGAGGTAAATATTCCAACTGTATCTATTCCATTAACTCATGACTCTAATTCTTCTAACTTTATCCCACTCATTTCTTTTTAGAAGAAGCTGTTAAAAGAAAAATATGAGAAGTTTATTAATTTTGTAATAAATCAATTCAAAAAGACTAACTTATATTTAGATCTTCATGCTAGTATAGATAGGTCAAATAGATTTTTACTGTATCTATTAAATCTGCTCTATATGCAAAAAGAAGCATTGATATCCAAAAGGCTACTGGTTAATTGATAGTCAAGACAGTGAAAAATATTGCAGTTATATTTTGAAAAATCCAGTCCAGATGCTTGAAAAGATCTCTTGAAATTTTCAGACAAAAATATATTAGTAGAGGCATTGTAACCGCAGATTTTAGAAAGATATCACAGAATAATTTATCAAGTATAATATATAGTTAGAATTATATTTAATAATATTTATTATTTATTAAATAATTATATTTCATTAAAATTATATTAGTTATTTATTATTAATTAAATTATATAGTTAATTTGTCAGTCATGGCAAGCTAATGTAGTAGATTATGTAAGGAGGCGCAGTAAGTCATATAATATAGTTACACAAAGCAAGAATAGTTGGTAATACAAGTCACGTGATAAGCCACATGACAAGGTATAAAGTCATAGGTAGTATAGTAGTACAAATAATATAATGATGTAATGTATTTAATTAAATTATTAGAAGTAAGTTTCTCAGTAATGATGTATAAAAAGGAGTCAGTTATGACTAACTTTCAGGAGCAGTTTTATCATTTAAACATAAGAATAAAATCCTAAAATTATGAATAATAAAAATTATATTTACATATAAATTACTTTAATTCAAATGTTTAACCTTTTCTTATAAGAAAAAATGATTTTTGGGATATTTTAGGAAATGTTTTGGGTAAAAATGTGTTTACAGGTTAATTTTAGGATATTATTAATATAAAAGTGGAAATATGGAAATTAAGTATGAAAGTGGAAAATGAACAGGAAAATACATCAAGTATATGAAAATAATTTAAGAATAAGGAAATATAAATAAATCAATACAAATATAATGGTTAATAAAAAGAATAATAATAATGACAAAAAACAATAATATTATACATTATAAATCCCATTAAATATGGTTTATCCTTTAGAATTGTACTGTTATTATTATGTAATATCTGAGTAAATTGGTATTATGGCTTAACTTTTATCAAAGTTGTGAGAACTCATCTAGTTGATAAAAGGATAATTGTAGCCTTGTAGGAAATATGATTTTATTAGATGAAATGATAAATGAATTAATAAAAATTAATCAAGAAGAAATAAACCAAGCATTATTCAGTAAATTTATATACAGTCGCAATTTGTGGCAACTGGCAACAGAACTATCTTTCAGTCTGGAGGATTCTGTGACAGCGTGAATGAAGTAAAAATAAATCATATGGAATCAATCACCTCCTTTTGGTTATGTCCACTCACTATTAGTTATCAGAAATTTTGGAATATTATTGTATTAATAACACCTTATCTACAGAAATTGTAATTAAAAAAAATGTTGGCTCTAAATGATTAATGATCAAATAAATAATTCTCAAACTTATTACTAGTATGATTAATAATTAAATAAATAATCCTCAAACTTATTACTAATATGATTAATGATTAACCTCAAACTTATTATTACTAATGATCAAATGAATCATGTCTAACTAATGAACCTTTGTAATACAGTAAACTTTTAAATGAATCATGATTATATAACAAAAAAATATATAAATTACCATATTCTTTTTTCAGATTCATTTTTTTTTCAGATTTTAGATTATCAAAGCAAAAATGTTTTCTTTTACTTCAAAAGTTTTTCATGCTAATAAGTGTGAACATAGTTAATTATTCTGCATTCAATATCTGATGTAATAATACATTGAGGTTCCTTTTTAATAAACAAATAGTTCAAGGATGCGTCTTTCATCACAATTAAATAAATGAAACAGAAAGTTTAAAGAATTTGTAAGATATTTCTACTTAATTTAACTCATTCAGGCAAGATTTTACTGCTTTAAGATCAACATGATTAATAGAGTCTCCAAGACAAATGAAAAAATAAGCAACTTAAATCAAAAACTTACTGGCTTTAAGGCCAACATGATTGATAGAAACGTGACTTTAATGCAAAAATGAAAGTTTTGCCATTTTAAACTAGTTCTCTGGCGATTGGTTCAGTAATTCTAATAATATCGTTGCTCAGAGCTTTTGGCTGGAACGTTAACTTCAAACTTAAGAAAAATAAGAATAATAAATAATATGCATTCTGGTTTAATATAGTAATTCACAATTCACAAATATGCATTCTGTTTTAACATATTTTAACATAGTAGTAATTCACAGATATGCATTCTGCTTTAATAAAAAAAACATTTTGCAACATTTTTTTTAAATTAAACTATCTAAAAAATGGTTTGCAATATTTTTTAATAAAGTTATTACAATTTATTAAACCTTTCAGCAATTAGGTTACCTGAAGTAACTTGAATTAACCTGAATATTTTTGGGTTAACAGGTCTGGTTGGGTCAGAACAGGTTATCCAATCTGAACTGACCTGAAAAAAATATCAGTTCAAGTTAACCAAATAACCTAACCTGACCTGACCTGTGTGAAGTTCTAATGATGCTAATACTTATAATTTATTAAAAGAAATTAGATTTTAATTTATTTAGTATGAAAATAAAATAAAAACTATTTATTTATATAAAAAATTCTTGTTGGCTGTATTAGCTGCTAAAATTAATTTTAAAAATTTTTGAAATTTTAAAATATCTTAAGATCTAGTGATCATAGAAAGATGAAATTAGGTTTGTTAGATTCCTCTTATTGAGGTGCATTTAATGGTAATAAATTATAACTTTAAAATTAATAGATAAAAAGTTATTAATTTATAAATTTTTAGATTTTATAAAATATCCTGTTACATAATATTTGTAGAAGAACAATTTTTATTCTATCAGATTCTTCTCATCAAATGGTGATAATTTTATATTTTTAGGAATAATATATAAAAAGATATTTCAATTTAAATACTATTTGTTGTAATTTGCCGATCATTTACTTTTAAAAAATCATTTAAAATCAAATTAACTTTTTTTCGATTTTTACTTAGAAAATATTTACAAAAATATTTGGTTTATATAATAAAACATTTTAAGACATTTAAAAGTGTTATTAAAAAACAAAATTGCAGGCAAATTTGCCTGCAAAACAGTTTAAGGGATACTCTTAAAACCATTATTAAAAAAGGTAAATGTGATGACAAGTTTATATTAAATGATTCGAAATAGGAAGAAAAAAATTGTGTTATTAACACTACTAAAAATTATTGTTGATAAGTTTGTAATATAACAAAAGGTTTACATTATTATTTAATTCGTTAACTGTCATCAAATAAAGTAAAATAAAAAATAAACTCATTATGTATTAAATATGTTAGTGTTTATTTAGTATCACGAATTAAAGTTTCAATATATTATAAAAATTTTCATTCAAAGCACTATTATAACCATCATAAAAAAGTATATATTACTTTCCTAAATGTTATAAATGATTGTAAATCAGTATTATCCAAAAGAAAGAAGAAAAGAACACGAAAAAATAAAAAAAGAAAAATGGCGTTTTCATATGTTAGGGATAAAATATTTACCATAATCACGCGTATTGTAAACACTAGTATTGAATTTCACCGAAATTTTTTACTTTTAAATATATTATACAAATCAAGGCGAAGTCAGTGAATTTCACCAGAAGCGAGTATTAAAAAAAAATCGTAAAGTATCGGAAAATGATCGACATTGTGATAAAACGAAAGGCCGCTATGCTTGTAATATCAATATTAATTAATATTCTCTTCCAATCCAACCATCATTAAAAAATGTAATGATTCGTTATTTACAATGTGCCGGCATGCAAAAAAAAAGTCCGTTATCTCAAAAATTCCGGATTTCCGGAATTTAAAGTACTAATTTAGCTCCGATTACGTGTACCGTACAATACGTACAATGATAACAAAAACAATCTCTAAGAATATCCAGATCACCAATTGGTGTAACAACCGACCACGTATATTTGCTCCTTTGCCAAACAGCACTTTATTCTGAATTGAAAATGGCTTTTCAAATATTCGTTTATGGCATCAATGGAACTACATCTACGCTTAATGATATCACGACGGAAACTAAGTAAAGATAATACGTGAAACTAGTAATGAAAAACAACTAAATCTGGTACTGACATTTTCCTTTGATGTTTCCAGGATTATAGATATTAAGATAAAGGTGAAAGAAAAGACACCAGGTGTAGAAATTGAGCATCTACGTCTCATCTTTGCCGGGAAAGAACTCGAAAATCATTACACAGCGGGGCACTATAAAATAAAGCAACGCTCTACACTTCATTTGGTCGTTAGGTAGGGAAAAAAAATTTCAATCTGCCGTTGAAGATTGATGATATCTATTTGTTATGTTTACAATTAATAGTTTTACTGCATCCGGAATTTTTTTTGACCATGTTTACATTTAATAACAATTTGTATTTCAGACTCCCGGGCGGCTCAAATGAGAACAGTTATAGCTCCGACGACGGCGTAGAGCTTACTAACGAACCCGACATGATCACGTAAGTACTCCCAGTTGCTCAATCATTCACCAGCCCAATCTAAATCTTTTTATCCATAGTTGGGATGACGACCCAGAAAACTTACGTGCAAAGGTAATAAATATCTTTCAGACGATTTGGAAAACAACATTTAATTTCAAATATCTTTAACCCCCTTTTCAGATGCCATGTGGCCACGCTATTAATCCTGAATCCCTGACTGCCTTTTGCAGATCACTTGTTAGCGAAGGCAAATTTCAATTTTTTTGTCCGTATACTGACTGTGAGTACTCACACGTTTCTGTCAGACGTCAACTGGTAATGTTTCTCACTATTCGTTGTGTATATCAAGCGACAACCGATGTTCGTTGCCTTGTGGAATGGCAATATGCTGACATCCGCAAGATAGGTCAGCTTACTGACGAAGAGTGCAAACATTTTGAGACCAAGATTAGTGAAAATTATGCTCTTCGGGCTCTCGGTGTTCAAGAATGTCCTCAGGTGAGAATTCACTTTTCGAGTTTTTTTTCTCAGCTCTTGTTTACTTCAAGTGCCATCGGTAGTGCTCCACATGTTGTGAGAGAAGAGATAAGAATCGGACATCAGTAATATGTTTGATATGCTCAAGGAGGCCGGGCGCTAGTGAATTCGCATTCTGTTGGTACTGCTTGCACGAAGTTAAGAGTTACCATGGTTATCGTTGTAATAACGATTTCTGTGGAGGTGTCGATCCACGTCTAGCCATTCTCAACAATGCGGTCAAAAAAGTAAGATACCCTGCCCGAAGGCCCCAACTCCACAATTGTATAATTTATCGTTAATATTATTAATATTATGGTTTCAGCAAGTAGGAAACGTATCCGGAGTGCCATCGTGCCGCGCATGCCCGAGATGTGGTACAATTATCGAACATGACCGTAACTGCAAGCATATGAAATGTCCTTGCGATCAGCATTTCTGGTATTTATCTTAATGTCGATAATTCAAACAAAAAACTCTGAACTAATTCTTGTTATATTGATATACAGTTTCATTTGCCTTAGCCTGCGTGACCCACAAACCGGCTGGTCATGCGGTGTATTCAATAGTGTATGCAATATTGCTCCAGTACAGACCACTATCCCCGGCTTATAATATTCTTATTCCATACTTAATATTTTTATTATCATTATTTGTGATCAAGATTATTGGGTCGGTCACGGGGAACATATCGTTTATTATTAAATTGTTTTGTACTTCAATTTTTATCTTTTTTTATTACGGATACGAATAATGATGGGAAGAAAATAAGCCTCGAAATATTTTTGACAAACGTGCTTTTCAATGTGAAATCACATGTTAATTATTTATATTAATAAAGATTTTTGTGATACATACATGTCAAGTATCAATTAAAAATGATTCTTTTTATTTAAAACGCAATTTTTATCGCAAAATGTAATCACGGGATATTATAATATAACCGATAGAAATAATTTTGATTTGAAGAGTTCGTTAAAGGACATTCAGATGATTTTTTAAAAATTACGTTGATCAATTTATACAAATTTTTAAAATTAAGATATAATCATATAGATCCGATTAAATATTATCCAGTATCCACGATGGAATAATATTCCGATCTAAGGAATTTGACGAAATTGGAAACTTAGAATCTTTTTTAATTTAAATCGTAACGGTATATATTAGGAAAATACGTTTTCTATTTTAAATGGAGATAATAAACTTTCGATACTCCGTTTAAATCTTCAAAGATGAAACAACAAAAAGTTCATTTATTATTAAAAGGATTATCAACAGTAGAAAAACGCAAATATAATTTCTAGTATCCCAATAGTATGCGAGAAATTTCGTCATGCGAGATCAATCACCTGAAATGCGCCGGAATAGGGGCTGTGCTACGTACGATTTGCGTATATATTTCGCATTATTTTTTCTCACTCTGAAATTTTAAAAATTTAAAACAAATCCTATAGTATATAGTACGAAGACAGGCAATCCGAAATAGACTTATTGAGGCAACATATAACTGATCTTGAGGCTGAGAACGATAAAATTAAGGCTGAGGATGTTGAGCTTAAGGCTAGAGTTGCGAAATTGGAAGATAAGCAATTGCAAAACGAATTAATAAAAAATTTATTATCTGTATCGCGAAGAAACATGTGATCCGTGGTAGAAAATTCATGGTAAAGACATCTATTTATTTATTGCGTGTCATGTATCCGGACGTGCTATTATCATATCAACAAAACAATATTCGGATAATTAGATATTTTTTGGCAATCAATATTTCATATGATGGGGATATGTGTATGCTAATCGCAGTAATTCGCAAGGGGGATTAATGTAATAACGAAATGCAGTGCATAATTGCTAATGAAGATCCGGGAATCACTTTCTCCTAGACATTTACCAGCACTATAAAACAGACCAATTCAGGCTGTTACTCAACATATGCAACCAAAGGACAGGCAGTATGGATAAAAAACAAGTTTAACTCTTGCAATGAAGATACTCAACGCAAATAATAATACTATCTTTCTTCTATTTATATCCCGGAGATAAACCCATGCATTTTATGTAAAAAGAGATAATTGGATCTCAACCGTATGGGCCAATCAAAGAATTTACTATGGCCACCTGTGGATGTATTTACTACCAAATGTGCCTTGAAAAATATTTGATGGACCACCGTGGTAAAGCTATATGTCCAAATTGGGATTGCAGTAGCAGAGAGATCAAAACTTTTATCCGGTAGTATTGCAAGACAAGTCTACAACTTCTGATGAAAACTCTATCTCACAAACCAGTGCATTTGGGAAATCAGACTCCTGTGGATGGTGATGTAACACCCATGAACGAACTAGGATTGTTAGGCGGAGAGGATCAAAACTTGTCCAAGACTACCCCTATAAAAAATTTTTATCCGAATATTTCCATTATTTCTCCGTGTCTTCCGTAAAAATTCTGTGAAAATGATACATTCACGGATATCCGTGTTAGCGAGATGAAAATTTCCATGATTTAAGGCTATAAATTCCATTAAAATGATACATTCACGGAAAAAACATGGAAAGATAAAACACGGATCAGATTTTTTACAGGGTACTGATAAGGTATCAAGTGACATTCACATGATATACCTCAAATTCGTTTGCGGGAACTCCTTAATGGTATCTTACAATGATATTACTGAGATTTGGGAAGTATCGTATATTGCATCGAAAACTTCCAAATCACACTACGTTGTTATACTTAAAGATGCAATGTTACTTTGCACTTGTATGTTTATTGTCAATCAAGGAATGATATGCCATCATCAATTCAGGGTGCTTATTCAGTCAGACAACGTGATATTTCATATTTCACACATTCATACACGTTGGTTTAATTTGAGTTCAGATCCGCCTACCAACTTAACGGGTTTTATTATGATTGTAAATGGTGAAAAAAATCATACAACGATACCATTGAGTTACATGAATCAATTAAGAACAGATAACATATATACTCTGACGATCAGAGAAAAGGTCAATAAAAAAATTCAATATGGCGCCGCGATATCTATAGTTAAAACGAGTATTCAAATCGCTGTTATGAAAGATGTTACAGCTGAATTAATTAGAATTTTGACACAATTTATTATGAAATATCGTAGAAGTACCGGTTTAAGCATTGAAAAGAGTAAGTATTATTTCTTCATAGATACTACCATATATTGTATAGCATAGGTTTAAGCTTCGAAAATACTAAAAATTTCATTTTTTTTCAGGTACCAAATCATTACAGGATTCGCAAGGATCTTCTATTCAAGATAATCCTCAACCTTTATCCGTTCTTCCTGATATAAGTATCACAAACCAAAAGGACGACCTCCAAAGCAGTATAAATCGACGGTAGAAAATAATCGTATTACATCAGGAAAACCTGATGATGTAACAGTACAGAAAACATGCAGTTATTGCTCCGGAAAAGGTCATAATATCCGTGGATGTCCAAAATATAAAGCTGAATCATCTGCCAACAAAGAAATGAATACTTAGTTTAATTGGGTAAGGCAGTTAATAGTGTAATAGTTAATTGTTGTACACTTGCACTCGAATAAAAAATAAACAAAGATTTAGCTTTTGTATCAATTTCTTTTATTAAATGTATAAATTTATTACAAAGTTTTTACATACAGATTAGAAACAATAGTAAAAATTTCATTTCTGCGTATTAAGAAATTTCGAAGTCACGTAATATATATGATCATGTGACACCGGTGCTGACCACCAGTGGTGGTAAATAGCAAACTTCTAAAAAAAAAAATAATAAATGATGATTTTGATTTAAGAAACCGAAAAAAAAATTTTGATTAAAAAACTATCGATGATTTCTATCGAAACTGTATCTCAAGGGCGTAGTAAAATATGGTGAGCTTTAACCTGTCCCAGCATGTCATTTATTTGACATAATTACGTAATTATAATATTTTCTTCGAGATCAATGTTATCATGTCTTCTTCCATGGCACCATTTATCTGCAAATGGACCGATGCTCATTCTAAATCATTGTGCTTTTACACTTAGAAGGAACTCGAGCTTCACATCTACAAATGAAGAAAAAGTGAATAGATGGGGATTATTCTTTACTTTACTCTTACACTAAAGATGGGTAGGTAGTGTTTTAAAAAAGAGGAGAGGCACAGAATTTTGTTTATATACGTATATATATATATAAGAATGTTTACTAACAAAGGGGAAACAGGTTTTGGTTTTTTTATATAAAATATTTATTAACATTCTTTTAACTTCTTTTTTTTGTAGATTTTGAACTGGAGCTTGAAAATTGGAATTGAAAATTAACAAATTTAAAATTAATAAATATTTTTTTCAGATAATAAAGAGCCATATAAATTTGTAATTTTCGAAAAATAAATACATTTTATTCAAATATAAATCATGATTAATCGATCATCCAATTGATTGATAATAAAGTTCAAAAACAACCCATAATAACATCATAAAAAATTTATTTGATATTTAATATGTAAAGTTGTTAATTGACATCCAGTTCGACAAATAATAGTAGGAATAAGTGATGAAGAACTCTTAAGGCAACAAAGTCAGAATGAATTAGAAAAATATAAAAATCATATTGAGCCACTCCAAAGCAAAGTGAATAATCTAAAAACTCAAAATCGGGTTAGTAGTCCAATCAAAAGAATTAATTACGGAAGAATTGCAAAACCAGCAAGAAAAACAAAAAAATAAGAATTTGAATCATGTAACATCTGAGGAAGAAGTTCTCCACAGGAGAAGTATAATTCAAAAGACAAATAGGAGGAAAATAATAAGTTGTCACGAAGTGTAATATGCTGTACCAAATATGTATGGTGTACAATTAGAGAATTATTCGTTTGGTGGAGAATTTAATCCAAAGCAAAAGAGTGATATGAAAAATAAAATTATAATGTTATAAAATGGTTTAAATCAAGAAACAATTGCCGAAATAACTAAAACAGAAAATTATATGATACAAAATGAAATGGGATATTTAAATTCATACGAGGATAAATCAATTATTTCCAATTATCAAGTTTTATTTAAATTTGTTAATTATAATAATTTTGAAATAGTTAGTGAGAGAAATAAAGAAAATTATAACTCTACAATCAATACTTTTTATGAAAGTATAACTGATCAGGCAAAGACGCAAAGTAATAAAGAGATGAATTCGTTAAAATTTCAAAAACTTTATGTTATATTGCTAGCCATTTTTGTTACAAAATATGATCATTTAAATCAACTATCAAAAACAAAATTTTTTTCATATTTGCCATCTTGCGCTTATTTGATAAAACCAAATTTCAACTTTTTAAGATGATTTATTATTCAAATAACAATGTATGTACTACTAATACACAAATGTTTATAATTGATTACAAACTTATATTGCGAAAGATAATACTTTATAATTCCCATGACCAAATTATAAATAATGTAGGAAGCTAGTTATTTACAGTTAACTAAGAATTTGGAGCAATTACTAAATTTACTGCATCAACAACTTAAATTATACGTATTTCTTCTAATGCTTGTCTTGAAGTAGTTCCACTATCAATTCTACGCTTTAGTTCTGTAAATTTTTCTACATCACATTCTCCTTTATTAATCATTTCATCAATCATTTGTCGAATCTTATTAGCGTCAGCATAATAATATCTTTAAAATAAATTATTGGAATAAATTACCAAAAAATAATTTTTCATGAAAAAAAAAAAATCAAATAATCAAATTTACAGTACATACATTACTTCAGGAAACCATTCTTCCCAACGTCTCTGATATGGTAATAGGTAAAATAATTCAATTTCAGCAAGAATCTAAGAAAATTGAAAAATTTTAGTAATTTTACAATAACTAAATCAAATAATAACAGTGATATACCTCCGCTTTTTGTAATAAATATGACACCCTATTATTATCTTCTTCAATTGCATTACTTAATAATCCAATAAACAAATTCATAAGATATACAACAATCAAGAATGAGAATAACACAGTCAATATTGCAAGTGAAGGATCATTTTTATATGTCCAATTGGATAATGCACCTGAATCTCCTATGATAGAATAATATTTTATTAAAATTACTTGCAAAAATATGTAACGAAATATTATGAAAAAATTCATTTACCTGTTAAGAATTTATACATTGCAAAAGCAGCAGTCCCAAAATCTATAAACATGTTGGTATTTTCATCAGGTTGTTGAATCAAATATGGATTTGGATCAACTGTTCCGTTTTCAAATACTTGATGATAAGTAGAAGCTATATTCCAAGGATTATTTGAATCACTATTATTTGTAAGATTTGTATTTGCATAGTCATCAGGAGAAAATTTAGATTCTGGTGATAATAAAATGTAAAATGTATGCGAAAAACTAATAATAATAATAAACAAAACCACTAAAAAAGAAAAAATTTTTTTTCCAACACTAATGATTATTGCAAAGTATATACCAAAAGATTCAAATACTCTAAAAAATAACAGAAATTTTATATCCAAAAATAAGCATGAAAAAGAAAGTAACTGAATATTTTTATTATGTGTTTGAAGCCAATAAATAGAAGTGTAAATTGGAAGCAGAAATGCAATTAAATCTATAATATTAAATAATAATGTAATTAATTATTAGTTTTTCCTTAATAATAAGCAAAGTAATTAAAATATGTGATGTATATTTACCAAATATATTCCAAAAATCACTGAACCATTTAGTAGGATTATAAACAAACTGGCGGATTTCAAAACTCAAATGAATAATTCCAAGTATAATTGAGACGATTAAGAGTTGTTTTTGAACATTATCATCAATGTATTGTTTAGGAATTGTTGCAGCAGCGGTAAAGCATCCAAGTAAACCCATAAATCCAAACCAGATTATTGCATAATAATATTTTCCAAATTTATTCCATTTAAAATTAATTATTGTTTCACCATTCCATGTCTTATAGATATCCCTACTTATTGTTTTAACAAATGGACTAGATTGAGGTATAAGTAATTCTTTAAACAAATTATAGTCTTGTGGATAATTAACAAATTTAATATAAGGATTCATAAGAGTAATTGATGGCATTGTATTTTTAAAAATATTATTAATAAGTAAGAATATAGCATGAAAAATAAGAATAATGGGAACCAGGGGTAAAAGTATTAAGATATCAAATATAATAATTATAATCCAGAATATCATTTTATGATTATTATAAAATTCGCTTATTAATCCTTCACTTTTATACCACCAAGTTAAATTAGAATATTGAAAGGAGTAAAGATGTAAATTACTATTTCTATATTCTTTACTATAAGAATCTACGATTATCATTGTTTCTGATGAATATCTTGAAATATATTCTGGATAACATTTATTCAATAAGGGTATTGTAGAATTAATAATACTTAAAAACATCCTATTGTTTACAAAATCTTCTTTAAAATAATTCATACATTTTTTATAAATATCATCTATTAATTCTATATCATATTCTTCAATTCCAGATGTTAGTAGTTTGACACCATGTTTTAAAAGGATTACTTTATTATATTTTCTAAATTTTTTATAGACATCCCCCGATTTAGTATCATTTCCCTTAATATCTTCTATACATTTTTTATAGATATCTTTTACTAATTCTTCGTTACCAAATATTAGTAATTTACCACCGTATTTTGAAAAATTTTCCTTAATATCTCTTATATATTTTTTATATATATCTTTTACTAATTCTTCGTTATGTTTAATTCCAAATGCTAGTAATTCCCCACCGTATTTTGAAAAATCCTTAATATCTTTTATATATTCTTTATAGATATCTTTTATCAATTTTACATCTTTTTCTTTAATTCCAAATGCTAGTAATTCCCCACCGTATTTTGAAAAGGTTTCGTTATTTTCTATTACAGATGAAATCCATTCATCACAAAATTTGAAACTTTCATGATTCGGTAAAGGCAAAGTAGTTTTTGAAGATATATAATTTTTTAATTCTTCTATATTATCGTCGATCTTCATATAATAGTAATAGTTTAAGGAAATTAATTTGTTGTTATTTTCATTAAAATGATAAATAAAAAGACCTTTTGTTGTCAAAATAATAATATTATTGTCATTAGATAACTCAATACCAAGTGGTTTTTGATGTTCAGCAGAATCTAAATAATCAACTCTTTTGCCAATTAATTTTCTCTCACTACTAATGTCAAAAATCTCCAGTGTAATTTTATTTTTTTTACAATCAAATATCCATTCAAATTTCCCTCGTTTTAAATCATTTTTTATGATTCCTTTTATGAATCTTTGAGATAATGCATTAATATTATCAATACATGGTTTTGATAAGTGATCATCTGTTTTATTCGTTTCTTTGTTAACATCATCAAAGTACCAGTCAATAGTTTCATAATCAAAGTAACAATTTTCGATAGTTTCATTAGAATTTTCGATAATTTCATTAGAATTTTCGATAGTTTCATTAGAATTTTCGATAGTTTCATTAGAATTTTCGATAATTTCATTAGAATTTTCGTAAGTTAAATTCATTTTTAATAACGTTTCAAGTTTAACCTTCCAAATATTTTTATCTAAGATTCCAAATGCATACTCGGTTGTAGTTTGAATGTTATCCGGATAACGCTCCTCTTTTAAATAGCCTGTCGTAATGGAACTTCCAGTACTATTATTACTTATTAAAGGAAGTAATAAAGAAATTAAGTCAGTATGATGCATAAAATTATAAAATAGTTGAGTATATGACGCTAAATAAATGAAATAATAAATTAGTATAAAGCTTAATAATATTATACAATTTTTAACTCTAAAATAATTACCATTATTAATATCCAAAGTGATAGGAATTTTTAGTTCTCTCGAATAAATAATAAGTTTATTTATGATTCTTATACAAATAAACTTCTCGTTACTAAAAATTTCGATAACCGACTTAAAAGTTTAATATATAATTAATTAAAAGTATTTTCAAATAGATTTGAGAAATAATTCAATATCAGATATATTTAATACCTTATAGTCACATATCTTCTCGTCACTATTAAATATTTTTATACTTTTTTCAGTAATAAGATTCCATTCATAAATGGAATTATCCGAATATAAGAAAATTTTATCATCTTTTGATATGTTAATCGCTTCAAAACCATTCGGTATCTTGTATATTCTTTCACATTTCCATTTGCTGCTATTTTTAGAATAAGCATAAATTTTATCAAGAGGTTCACCATATAATACAAGTTCACCTTTTGAATTAAAGTTAAATTTGCAATAATTATAATAGTGAAGGTCAAGATCTAATTTAATATTTTGATTATTCTTCATATCGTATATTCTTACTAATTAATTATAATTTTTTACCATAATTAGACAAAATATATAAATCTGCATAAATTTGTAATAATTGTCACTTACCTTTTGTAATAGCACCTTTATTAGACATGTCATAAAGACGCGCAAGTATTTTATCATTGGAAACACATATTTCATCCGTTTTATTACTTAATTTGAATTTTTTATATAATTTAAGTAGATTCTCATCTTTATCTTCGACATTCCAACCGACAATTGATTGATCATCTTTACTATAAGTAACTAGGTATTTTCCGTCTGGCGATATTGTTATCATAGTAATAGGCTTATTGTTATGTTGATCTATTAATATAATTTATCAATATCAGTATCAATTTTATCGTCATATTTTAATATTATCAATATTATTTACCAATATCTATTTCTGTCGCAACAGCGTTCATTTGTTAGGGCTTAATTTGTTGAAAAAAAAAAATTTTATTTAAAAATTTTTTAAATTGTTCTCATTTTGTTAAGTATATATATAAAAAGGATATATGCGTGTATTATTGATTAATTAAGTACGTCACAAATTTTGTTCAATGTAAACAAATTTAGACTACTGATTTTTTTTTTTACTTTTTTTAGTTTTATTAAAAAAAAGCTTCATCTAATCAAATATATGCGTTAACACGAGAAAAAAAAATTTGTATTGAAAAAATATGCAATGATGTTCATTTGTCCGTTTTCTTACCTTATCAATAGTTTGTGTTTGAATTAAATGGTTATTTATGGAATTGAAAGTAAAGAACACTGCATAAAAAAGAAGGAAATATATTTTTTTAATAAATAATTAAGTTTAGTAGCGTAAAGTTTTTGAATGAAAGAAACCCTGAAAAAAAACAATAAATATTTAACCATTGTTACACAAACGAAAAAAGTAAAATCTTTTTTTTATTCAAAAAGTCTTGCTCAATAAATTTGTTTAAAAAAATTTTAGTTTTCTTTTTCCTTTAATTTTAAAGAATTCGAATCTCTAAAAAAATAAATTCAACTTTTTCAAAATGAGGTTATATATTATTTTTCTTATTTTTCTTATTTTTCTTTCATCGATTATTTTATTGGTATTACCAGAAAAATCATCCTTTGAATCTGAATACCAAGGAAAAGTTCTATTGACTTCAGATGGGTTCGGTTACTTCGTAAGTTTTATAGATGATGAAGTTAAAATAAAAGAATTTTTTGATAATTTAACACAAGAATTGGCTAAAGCAATTCCGGTTAGTCCGGAACGAATAACTACAAATAGAAGATATGAAATTGAAACTGATACTTCATGCATTTTATCTATTGATATTGAAAGGACTAATAATAAAACCGAAAGAAAATCTAGTTTGATCGTTAGTGATTTAGATACTTTAATAAAGAATAAACTTACCACTGTCATTGGTTCTGGAGAATATACAAATTATTTGGATGCTGAATATGGATATCAAATCATACGTAAGAATCTTATTTTTTTTTTCGAATGAAGGATTTCATCTCAAATAATTTTTTTTTTTTTAATCTTATACTTAAATAGCAAGTTGGATAAAAGAAAATTGGAAAAACGTAATTATATCAATTGCAGTAGATGTCTTTTTTTTATCACTTGCTTATTGGGTGAATATATATTTAATATTATTAAAACTCATTAAATTTTTAATTTAACTCTGGAAGAATTCTGACGAAAAATTTTTGTACACCTTTTTTTTTCCTTCTCTTTCTTTTATTTTTAGAATAATACATTTACAATTTATTCTTGTGCCAACGCTATTGAAAGATTAGTTGTTATAATTTGGTATGATTCAGCAAGGTAAAGAAAAAACCAATCTAAACTAAATAAAAAAAAAGAAAATGAATAAAAATTTATTTTTTTTTCCAGTACTTATTTATTCTTTTTCCTTCTCCTCTCTTTCTCCCCTTCTAGTTATTTCCTTATGACATCTTCTTTTATCACAAATTTAATGGTTGCATTTAAAATTGTACGTGATGAACTTATGAGACATGACTTACAAAAATTATTAGAAGAACTTGAAGATGACTTAAAAGAAGGTAACAATCTAGCAGAATATAAATCAGAAGACGGCGGTACAACAGGATTAATAATAAATAATGATGGTGTCAACAGCCAAGAAAAAATTACGAAAGTATTAAAAGAAATTAAAAGAGAGTTAAAAATAATAATTAGAGAATTAGCAGTAATTAGCGATCTCATGAAAGAATTAAAAAATGTTAATGAAAAATTAAATTCAAAAGACATCGTAAAAAAATTGAAAAGAATTAACAGTTTTATAAGAGAATTTATGCAAGTTGAAGGTTCTACAAAAGAATTATTAGATGTTAGTGGACATTTGAATAAACTTAACGAATTATTGAAAGAAATTAAAGATAACGTTAACAAAAAAGAATTAAATAAAATAAATTATCTTATTAAATCCATGAAAAATAAATTAAGAATTGAACAACTTAAAGAAAAATTGAATGAGGCCGAGTATCTTATTATCAATAATGAACTTGCAAGTGAAGATAAAAGAGATTTACTAAAAGAACTTAACGACTTTAAAAAAGAATTAAGAAAATTTAATGACCATGCAGAACCTACAGCAGTGTATGGGGATAAAGAAATGAATAATGCTGTTGAGAAATATAGTGGCAAAAAACAGATTAAAAAGCTTAAAGACTATATTCTGAGAAAGTTTGAAAAGATTCTGAGAAAGTTTGAAAGCTGGTTTGGAAGCCTTAGAGAATCAGATCATCCGGAAAAGAAATATCGAAAAATTTCACAATGGTTAAGAGATTATAAAGATAATCAAGTAATTGTAGTAATATTTGCGATACTAGTAGGAGTTGATGTTATACATTTTAAATTGCTTGGATCAATGTTACGGATTCCGATTCCAAGTCTTAATTTTTTTTGTCTTAAGCCTAAAATTATTGATGTTAATTTTAATGCTAAATTATCCCACGCAGTAAAAGTACAATTATTTTGGGTTGCAATCATTAATTTTTTCAATGATATTGCTATAATATTTACACAGGTATGTAAATTATTTTTACATTACCTTTATTAAACCAAACATTAAAATTTATTTATTTTTAATAGAATTTTTCTTTAAGTAAAGTATCATTAGTTGTATCATTGGATTACATGTCTGTATACGTTTTATTAAAAACTATTATACATATCCTTACTAACTTATATAACATATTTAAATTGTTTCAAACCCGTAAAAAATTTATCTGATATATATAATTCTTTTGATCGGTCTTATTAAAATAAAGTTCATTTAAATTTGTAACATTTATTTAATTAAATTCATGGCATTTTTTTTTTAATTATGTGTATAACGTGTAAAAAAAAATAAAATTTTAATTTAGACTAGAATTATGTATTTTTCAAATTTTCAAAATATTGAAACTGTTAATATGAATCAGAATCAATTTTTTTTTGGCAATTGTACACAAATAAATACATTATTTGAATATAAAGAATAAATTTAAAAAGCATGAAAATGAGGATAAATCATAGGAATCATACAAACAATATTCGTTCAATTACAAGTGTGAAATTCTACTTCTAGTTTTCTTAATTTTTCTCTGGCACCTTCATTATTTTGACCAATTAAAGCGAAATCTCAATTGCGTTAATGTTAACGTTAATGAACATACTGTATAATTATTGATATTTATTAGATTAATACCAGGTTAATAATATTTATGAGCAAAGAATTTTAACACATTTAAAAAGAATATTTATGTAAGAATTTATTTTATTATGAAAAGAGTTTTAAATAAATGAAAATAAATAAGATAAATAAAAGTATTAAACGACGGTGAGTTGGACAAGTTCCATATATTGGGGTGGGGTGTCCACCTACTTCGGTAGAGATTGGACGGGCCAGAAGTCGTTCACCACTTAGTATAAAGGAAAGTCCCCAAGTTGAAGATAAAGTTTTCGTGGGAAAACTTCACACAATTCTATACTAATCACATCCCTTTACCTTAAAATTTTTTTTTTTTTTGATTATTAACAAATTAAATCAACCCTTGTCGGCATTGTGTATCTAAGAAAAGAAAATTTTGGATGTCAATTTTCTCATTGGAATTTAGATTTTTTTTTCAAAATAAAATAGGCACATTTTCAAAAAAAAAAAATGAATCCACAAAATTAGTAAAAATAAATTTTAAGCAACTATTTTCACATTAGACTATTAATTACACTTTGAATAACATATTTTAATTTAAAAATGTAAAAAAAAATGTTAGATTCTTAGATAAACACTTTTTTTTTGTCTTTTAAGATATGGGGTAATTTTAGAATATATCACTTGAAAATTTTCAAAAAATTAATCATATTGTTGCTAATATTAGGAATGGAATTTTTTTTAAAACGATCTAAAATCAGGAGTGATACAAATCTGGTGTCACCTGTCACGCAAATAACACGAACTACAAATACCAAATTCAATATTTACAAACATAATTATTTTGAAGAACATGCAACCTGGACGCTAATTTCTTTCTTGAAATACAGACGACAGTATGCAAAGATTTTACAAGAGTCAGGAGCATAGGAACTATACGAAAGCACTTAATAAGATTATTCCAAGTAACGAATCAAAAGAAAAAAGTGCACGAGCTCAAAAATGTCTTGACGAATTTAATGTACGTGTTTTTTATGTAAATATTTATTATTAGCTAAGATAGAAGCTCTGAGTAGCTGCCTGACTACGTCTCGGCCAGTGATAGTGAACTACGCCTTCCCTCAGGGAATAGACTACGCCTCTATTTCCATGTTGCAACTAGGAACTACGTCTTTCTGGTTGTTAGACTACGTCTCGTTTCATGGAATATATCTTATTCCTTTGATTATGATGATGAGTTTGGTTATTTCATTAGACTTATATATTATCTGCTTTTTACAATGACGAAAAATCATCCCCAGATCGAACTTCCTCCGCGTATTGTGACTTCTAATTCAAAGGTAGCACTGGTTCTGGATCGTGATTATGAAAATAGCGAAGAGGTTAGTATAAATACAACACAGATAATATTTGCGTACAAACAAATATATATATTAATTTGATATATTTTACAAGCCAAGAAAACGACCTGCACTCACAAAAACCGGAAGTGAGTCCGAGTATGATAAAGCGATGAGGATGAGTCTAGGTTAAATATGAACGTAGAAGAATTGGGTTTGACGAATACATTAGTCAAGGGGATAAGCCTGTAAGTATATTTTTTCTTACAGTCGATCGCAAGTGTGATTCCTCTAAAACAATAACTATTTTATAGTTCATTTTTTAAATCAAAGAACATATCGTCATTATTTGAGTCATATCGATCCAAAGCGTTAGCTCATGCGCAAAATTCTGGCTTGCTAGTAACGAAAAATTATCACGAAATATTGTAAGTAGGACTTTTAAATGAATACCTTTTTAGTAATTAACTTTATTTTTAGAATGTGATTTTTTTGAAAAATTTAGGAGTCTATCGCATATTCTTTTATTGCAGATGGATAACTATTCAGAGATGCAAATAAAAGTATTTTCTAGGAAACTCTTGAAGATTTGAGAAAGGACATTAAATCAAGTTTTATTGGAATAGAGAAATTGACGAGGGACATAAAATTGATACTACAAGAATATCAGATATATTGAGGTTTATATTCTTTTATTAACATTATCATCTTTTGCAATATTAGAAATTCTTTTGCTGATTATCATTACTTTAGATTGCTCTTGATGACGATGATGGCGGGTTGTGCAAACTTCGTAAAACAATTATAAACTCTTTCTCGAAAACATTCGATTCAACAGCAGAAGATGAATTTTTCCAACGAATGCAGTTTCTATTTCAACACTTGTAAGTTTGATCTCTACTCTTTTTTATTCAAACATCTTTATTAATTGTCTATGGTAAAGTGTTTTCTCTCAACTACTTTGCAGGGCTTACACAATTCTGTTACGTTCATTGAAGAAAAAAATTAGCGAAAGAACTTTGGTGGCGAATTTAATAAGTCCCATATTGCACACTTTCTTTCATAATGCTTATACATCTGACAATTTGGCCAAACACTTTCAGTACTAGTGCAAAGGTCTGAAAGCTTGCTGTCAGTGATCCTTCTTGAGCTAACAACCTGATATGATCAGGAATATCATCAATAACGGTATTTATATTCTTTTTATAAAGAAGTAACGGGTGAGGGTAAGAATAACATGGAAAAGAAAAATATAATTGATCTAATTAGGTTGGAAATATTTATGAAGGATTCACTGAATAGTATTTTGCTTAAGACCAGTGTTAATTGGGTTTTTACTTGGCAAGTTATCGGTAAGCTGATCTTTCAGGAATGCTTACTTTAACTAAGATGATAAAGATCAGGAACCTGAATATCAATGTCTTATTTATCTTGCCATCACTGCTTTTGGTGCAAGAAGATAGCTTCCGTCTCTCTACTTTTTTGTTTATAGGAAATTTTCATATTACAATGAATAGCCAATTATAGAGTAAAAGTTGGAAATGGACAAGTAAAAAAAAGATAACTATTCACTGATGCCAATTAAATATAGCGAAATTGAATGTCCCAAAGTGTATTATGAGATGATAAAAAAGCTAGAAATATTTTAAAAACTACCTAACGCAACCAAAAATCACGCGTATATATACCTTCAAATTCAATGGTTAACAAGGTTGTCATCCCTGGTATTCCGGCAAAATATATTAAGTAAAATAGTTTAGTAAAATTAGCCAGTATAGCAAATTTTTATGATGATGATGGAAAACAGGCTACCAATCACGTTCAAATTTTACAAAAAACGTGTAGAACATATTATAAGAAGTTTTGTTTAGATTATAAATTATTCATGAGAAACAAAAGTAGTACAAAAAAGAAAAAAAATTCCAAAAAAAAAAATAAAAGATAATATACAAAAACTTGAAATATACAGAAAAAGAGAGAAAAATATTTTAATTATGATATATAATATATGTATATATATACAAGAAGAAAATAAAACATTTTGATCAGAGGATTTGATTTTAATTTAAATCTTTCAACGATTATGGTTAAACTTGCTTTACTTCTTCATCATGATTGTCAACCTTATTTATTGTTTCAACCGCTTTTTGTCCTGATTGATTGTCAAGTTTACTGTTAGGAATATGTAGTGTATTTACTTTTACTTTTCTATTCTTATTTCGTTTGTACAAGAAGAACATTCCAACAGTGAATGCACAAAGTAAAGAAAATCCAGTAGCTAAACCAATTACTACCGATTTATTCTTAGACGGTGTTGAAGGAGGAGCTGGAGCTGGAGCTGGAGCTGAAGTTGGAGGAGGTGGCGGATAAAAGGTCGTTGTCCATTTAAATTCATTTTTATCACTGATATCAAGTAATAAAACATCGTCTTCAGTTATGTTATAACCGACTCCTATTAAATTTAGGATAAAAATTATAAAAATCAAATCATTTATAAAAATCAAATCAACAATAATGTATTTACCAAAAGTTGTGACCATATAATTTCCAATCACATTTGCTCTATGCATATATCTACAGCTTGGAATGTTTCCAGTAATTTTTGGAATACTCCATTCAAAAGTGTTAATATTTAAAGTATAAAGTGATTCTTTGGGACTGATAATAATATTATTATTTCCTAACCCTCCATAAACTAT